CTGCTGCTGCTGCTGCTGCTGCTGCTGCTGCTGAATGCGGGGATCGGGATCGGGATCGGGGATCGGGGGGCGACGCTCCCGATCCCCGATCTGCCCCACACTGCTGCTGCTGCTGCTGCTGCTGCAGGCGCTGACACTGCTGCTGCTGCTGCTTGCGGTGTTGCTGCTGCTGCTGGTTGCGGTGTTGCTGCTGCTGCTGCTGCTGCTGCTGCTGGCGTCAACAGCAACCAGCCTGCAGCAGCTGCGGAACAGGGGATCCCCGTGTGTGTTTGTACAGATCATTCATTCCGTTTCTGGCTGCTGCTTCTGTTGCTGCTGCTGCAGCTGTTTGCTGCTGCAACTGACCTGCTGCAGCAACAAACGTACTGCAGCAGCTAACGTGCTGCTGCAGCACAGCAGCAGAAACCAGCAGCAGCAACGCGGCCCCGAAGTCCAAACTCTATACCCGCAATACTCAGTCTTCTTATTGCATCAAAATTGAGTTGAAGACACAGCTGCTATACCAACGAGGGCAGGAGCATGCAGCAGCAGCAGCAGCTGCTGCTGCTGCTGCTGCTGCAGCTGCTGCTGCTGCTGCTGCTGTAGCAGCAGGCGCCGGCGCTGCTGCTGTTGCTGATCCAGCAGAACAACCCGCAGCAGCACAAAATAAACTTCATTGTTTGAAATGTTGTTGAGGTAAATACTCTGCTGTTTTGTCTTGCTGCTGCTTAAACCCGTTCTTAGCTCCCCCCTCCTCTCCCGTGCTGCAGTGACACCGCAGCAGCAGCAGCAGCAGCAGCAGCACAAATTATTTTTTTCTGATTTCGCTTACATACACCCGGGTGTATATAGACTGGAGCTCTACTGGGGTGTACATACACTGCAGAGGGCTGCTAGGTGTCTAATGGGCGGGGGAGGCCGCAAGGGGCATCAAGGCATAGGGCCCCTATACACATATATTTCTCTACACACTCATCTACACTGGAATCTATACTTGTATATCTATGTATACATGCATGTACACCGCGTATCAGGGATATTGTAGCACTGTCTGGCTGAAGTAGTAACGTGGATTTCTATTACTTTTAGTTGAGCGCAGCTTGGCTCCTCATGGCCAAGCGAATGTTTAAGAAACTGCTTTGGCGTTTAACCAGATATAGAGCCGATGATTTCTGTGGATATGAATGCCACCACTGAACAGAAAAAAAAAAAACAAAAGCTATAACACGAGTCAGCCGGGGAATATGGGGGTTAGATAGTCGGGAAACATACTGAGAGACGCATCTACTTTCTTCTGCTGCAAAGATATTCGCATAAACTGAGATTGCGGCAGCATGGAGAGAACCAATGAACTGGGAGAGCGGGGCTTTGATCAGAACCTCTAGGGGAACAAAAAAAGTGAGCAGGGAAACTTTCTGGCCCGGCCGTAACCTGCGACGTAGTGTTGAGGCCCGGAGAGGTGACGGCCGCGTCTGCAGTCCCGCATATCTAGCCTCATACTAATCATCGAGGGTTGTCAGCTATGCTTGGCACGCACTGAGAAGTGGACCTTCTATCTGAGGCCACGGCAGGAGATGCAACCTCTCTTTCCATTCGCTGGCTCAGTTTGTGCGAGTATGCTCCGGCAGTAGCACAGAGGAGATCAGGAACGGTAACTCCATAGGCGTAAAATACGGGTTCAATTCAGAAATACGTAATTTTACATTTTACCATGACACCGGAGATATACAGTGGAGCAGCATACCACAGCATAATCCTTGTCTTTCCGTAGGTGGCTCTGTTGAAGAAGCAGATGCAGCCGCCAGAATCCAGCATTGATATCTATGCGCTGGGACCCGGAGAG